CTGATCGTATCTTGAAAATTTCGTAAGTAGGGGCGTTCGTAAGTAGAGGTACCACTGTACTGGGTTATCCTCAATTTCAGCTGCCCTTGTACTTATTTTTAATATCCCAATACATTGCTAACAATGTTCTTGTTCTTCAAAGAGAGCACCTAAACATGGTTATTACAGGCATGAAAAAGTAAAATTAAAAAAAGCCATTCATTATTTATTTATGGTCCCAAAGCAATAAAACAGAAGTACAAAATTTAAAATACAGAAAAACCAAACCTGAAACAATTAACAAAATGAGGGTATCAACTAACTTTTGCAAGCTATAGTTGTTATTAGAAATCTTTATAGTAGTTGCTGAAGTTGGATTTTGCAGAAGACTGTAATTTCTTGATCAGAAAGACAATAAAAATTTCTGATAATCTGATTTATAAGTGCTAGACCCCATGGGTGTCTACAGTCTTCATAATAAGTAGTGCCCAAGTCGAGCCAAGATTTTTAAAAAATCTCCTTTGTGGAACATGTAAGATGTTATAGAGATAACAAGGAATCATCCATGATGAACCTGTAATTACACCATAATAAGGGTGGATGATTTTGGTCCCATCTTTTTGTAGGTTTAAATCCCAAATCCTCAGTTTAAGTTTGATTAAGGCTTTATCTGGGCTGAGTGATGACATTGCCAGGGGTGTGAAGCTACAGTATACCAGATCAGAATCAATGTGCCTCCTCAGGCATGAGGAAAATCTATCTAGTACAATGAGGTAAACCAGAGACTCATCCCCCAAATTTGTTTCAGCCGAAATCTAAAATCAGAACAGTCACAGATGGGCCCCAAGGGAAATGCAGCCAAACTCTAACCAAGTAAGAGCATTTGAAGTTGAGGGAGGAACATGAAGTATGGCTTTCAGAAACTTAGACTGATCAGCTTCTAAGGTAGAGGCATCCAAGTTGACTACCACATAACAGCAAGACCAGAATGTTCGCTGTATACAGTTTAATTGCTACAGGAACATAATTATTGCCTTGATGACTAGCTTATTTACGGACTGTGGTAGAAACTTTTTGGCTCTGATAGAAAGCTCATTCAAGCGATTATTTTAACAAGTTAGGAATGGATGCCTACATACTTGAAGTCCTTAACTTGATCAATTGGTCTTTTGTTAATTTCCAATTTAACAGTGACTTAAAGAACTTTCTAGGGAAAATGAAATCTTAGTTTTTAGTTACTTTCAAGAAATTCCTTAGCAAGTAGGATGCTAAAGTGGCTAGGTATCTATGACGGCCCACTTAGATTACAGATAAAATTCCCTGTGTACAAAAGAATCAAAACAGGATGATGGCCAAATGATGGAGGGTGAAATTCTGGTTTACATAGGGCCATAATTTATATAGAAGTTAAACAATAAAGAGACAAAGGGGGAAAAAGCTGAAATTGCCATAAATTAAAACTATATCTTAATTAGTTTCATAAAGGCAGAAATTACTAGACTGGGGGTGGGAGGACAAGAACAATTAGCTGCTGAATGCAAAATTCCTTCTCCTGTGGCATAGAGAATATATAGCATATTGAGAAGATCATACTGTGATTATATTAGTCCAGTCTTTCATTTTGTGTTCTTCACAGTATTAATTTTTTGGAATAGCCAAATGTGACCGCAGACACTGTCTTGTTAGCATTTTTTTTTCTAGTCTTATTTTGTTCACAGCACTCTTTCTGTTGGGGAAAGTGATATTTTGTTGGTTTTCATCATAACCATTTAGCAAGGGAACCATGGGGTGGCTAGAATCCACAGAACTGTATGCCTAGTTACAGGACACCAAAGGGACTTAATGCTTAAGTTTCCTTGGCAAATGCTTTTTCCCTCTGCTAATCATGAAAGAAAATGCAGTTGGAACTATTTGACATTCACAGATAGTTTCTGATATAGCCAAGGACCTAGTTGTCCCTGTTGAAATGGAACAAATCCTTTGCAAGAGCCTCAGATAGGCTTCAGATTCCTAGTCAGTGACTTCATTCCACATGACAGAGTTCCTGACAACACTTGTGGTCTCTTCAGCAAGAAACTTTCTATTATACTGAACATGGAAGTTAACTCTGAGCCAAACTTGAAGAAGCAGCAGACACAATTTTCCCCCAGATACTGCACATAAAAAAGTATGTTCGGCTGTACTGGTACTGATGCTATTGACACATAGTAGAGGTAACAATGACTTCCTGAAAGCCAAATTCAGCACATCAGGGGCCATCTTCAACTTCTCCCTCTACAGAGAGAGGCTCCATTTGAGCTATACAGTTCACTGACTCATGCTTAGCAACAGAAAACTGGTGGATGGAAGGGAGAAAAGAAGAACACACAGCAAGGAGTTTGATCAGCAACATGCAAGTTTGCACAACATCATTCAGTACTTAGCTCTACTCTTCCTTTTCTGGGCCACGTGTCACTTTGACAAATTGGAAAGCTATCTTTCCAGCAAGCTAAACTGGATATGATTTCTATGTCTCGCTAAAAACAAGCTCTGTTCAAGTAAAAAATCAGATATTTTTCATTTAAGTTGTACAGTAACTGCTTTGCTCCCACCAACAATGATATAATCCCAAACACTTGCTAGTTATAAAAGTTTTCTGAGGACAAACAATCCTGGAATTAGAGCTGGGAACTTTAAGCAGCATCAAATTGGAAAGCTATCTTTCCAGCAAGCTAAACTGGATATGATTTCTATGTCTCGCTAAAAACAAGCTCTGTTCAAGTAAAAAATCAGATATTTTTCATTTAAGTTGTACAGTAACTGCTTTGCTCCCACCAACAATGATATAATCCCAAACACTTGCTAGTTATAAAAGTTTTCTGAGGACAAACAATCCTGGAATTAGAGCTGGGAACTTTAAGCAGCATAAATGAAAAACTGATGAGGCAGACAAATGCCAGGAGAAAGATCTTTCCCCTTCCAGACAAATCTCCACAAAAGCCAATTCCGTGAAGCCCTTCCTTGCTAATTGACTGGTTAAGGTGCCATCTACTGGGTCAATTTGGAAACAGCAAAACCCTCACCTAGTAACTACAAGCGGCTGAATCTGGATTTATCACCTACAGATAATTTCCAGCAATGCTATTGTAACTAGTCTCTTGTCAGTTCTCAATCTTAAAAGGACCCAAGTGTTCCAAACTGCATTCAAGAGACACAAAATAAACATGCCCAAATATTTTCCAGCATTTATATTTTCAAAATGAATGGGTCATTGCTTTGTTTGTACTATATATAAAGCAATATGCTTTGTAATATATGCATGTTTACAATAATGTCAATCCTCACTATATTCAGCACTGTTTACTCTAAGTAAGCCTACAGAGGATTACAGTCTTAGTTTACAGTGAGTTTCCTGAATCAGCACCTTCAAAGTCTTAAACTACTCAAGAGGAGTGCGAACTTCCTTTTGTGCTTTTCTTCAGTTGAACTAAGATTAACATTAGAGGCCTCTAAAATCCCTTCATATTTGCATAACAAGTAAACTCCTGAGAGCGATGTCCCCTTAACAAGCTTAAACCATAGCTCAATCCACCCAAGGCAGGCCCAATTCAAAGATTTGGTTTGGTCATCCTTTCTCCCTATGGGAAATTTGCAAATGTTTAATTTTCTGCCCTAGGGAAATTGCCCAGGGCTGGGGGTTAGACTGAGAAGTCAGAAAACTTCCCCAGGAGATGGCAATCGCAAATCATTTCCACATCACTGCAAGGAAGCTACAAAGATGTGTCTATGAAATCCCCAGGAGTCACGCTCAACTTGAAACAGAATTTACTTTCATGGGGCAAATGTCAACTTCTACTCACATTATTCTGGGGAGAGATGTGGCTTTCCTCGTTTTGAAACAGAGTGAATATGCAACTTCTGGAAAATGATGCAGCTCTGTAACATGTAAATCCTAAGAAGAAAGCCTGTTCTAAGTGATCCCATCCAAAAGATACAATTCCAGAGATGGAATGTGCTGGAGAACAACATTCTCCTGTACCACGCTAATCTGGTCATCCCAACGGTGGTCCAAAAGCTTTAAATCAACCAGAAGAGGAAACAGTTTCTGGAGTTCCAAACATGGTCCAGCCTTGAAATGGACAAATGCCAAATACAACTGAGTTGCTTATAAAAATTCTACACCTTGGATTTTTCAAATTTCCTGTGCAATTTTAGCTAAAGTGCTACAGTGTACCTACAGTTACCCTTGAAGTTGTTATTCGATTTTCAGTAACGCACATGTAAAGAATAGCAAGAGCAATGAAAGAATGCTAAAGGTACTGGGGATAGCACAAGAAGCTCTACATAATAAAGGTTGGTGACATTGCTCATCTAATCTTAACTTTCCAAGAAAGGATGCCCAAATGGGCAGCATCAGCACTGAGGAAACTCCAGCCAATTCTTGTGGTGGCATTGGGAATACAGAATTCTTGAATGCCAAAAAAAATGTTCTCCATATTCTTTGAATATGTTAGGTTTCTTCTGCAAAGCTCAATATGACTGCTACATCTTTCACAAATAGTTAAGTTCTAATTTACGAGAAAAGTTTGTTCCTGTCACAGCTTCAGCCTGGGCACAGCAATAAATTTCTCTGTGGAAATGCAAACCCACACACACACACACGTAGCAGAGGATTCAAGATGAGACTTAGACAAGTTATTTTTATTGCAGGTGCAAAATAAGCTGTAATTAACAGTGAAGATCAGCTACTGCAGAATCTAGAAATATAGCCATACTTAAAATATTAGCTCCAGGGTTTAAACCTGTGTCACTTTCTCATATCCTTATACAGTAATAGACATTTTGCTGCCCATTCTCAGCCCTGGATGTTGAATATCTGTACAGTATTTTGAAGACAATCTTTCTGGTCTCAGACTCTTTATTTCCAACCTTGCTGGATACAGGCCTTGCAATTCCCAATGTTGTCATAATCTAAGCCAATGATTTTTCAATTTTAATAATCAGGAACTCAACACATTTGAAAAAGTAAAGAAATATTCTCTGTATATCATGTAATCACTATTTAGTAGAAGATTCTGCTGCAGTGTCCAGGAAACTTTCTTGAGATCATTGTCACTCCATAAAAAGGCTTTCCTATAAATGCACTTTTCAGTGGAAGATCAGTAATTATTTGATGCAAATCAATAGAATTTTACCAGCTAACCCAGGAAACTACTACTGAAGTGGGAATAAAAGTATAAGCACATATCCTCTATTTTGCAACTACCCCCAAGTATATTCTTCCCCATCAACTAGATTCTCTGACAGCAGCAAAGGGAACCTTACCTTAGCCGATCATAATTTAGCATTACAAAAGCAAGCAACACCATCACACAAAATGCTCTTCTTTTTGGAGGGGACCCTTTGAGATTCTGATTCTAGACAGGAAATGAAAAATTGGAGAAAAAGAAAAATTAATAATCAACTTACTTCACATTCAACACTGAAAGAATTTGAGTCATAAGGGGCAGCAGCCTTGGTTAATGTTTAAACCAGCTACTATTATTCATATTCCTCATGATTTTGCCAATATTGCAAATATTATTTGTGATCTTAATCAACAGGAGAAATTACACACCTGTCAGATCTTACAGGGATACTATGATGGACAATCACAACATGTAGACGTCCTGATCAATGTTCTAAGGACTGTTCAATCAGTTACATATTTTGGATGAGAAGGGTTGCAGGAATTGCTCAAATGAGCAATTATTTTATTCACGAATATTAAGACCTACAGTTCTCATTTAGCAGCTGATTCATTTAGTGATCACTGCAGTTACAACAGTATTAAAAGAATAACTTTGCTACCAGTCCTCACATTTATAGCCTTCACAGGTCTGTAAAGCAAAGGAAAGCTGAAGTAAAATTGCAAAATCATGCTTTACTTAGCAATCACTTTGCTTAACAACCAAATTGCCGGTCCCCATTGTGGTTGCTAAATGAGGACTACCAGTATTAATTTAGCTTGCCCAGCTTTTAATTCAGGTAGCATAAATGATGCTATACAAAACTCTGGAGAGATGCAGAGAGATGTTGCTGATTGTCAACTCTTCCCCACTTCTCACTGAATCTGTGTGCCAAAACCTTGGTTATTTAGCGATTTACCACGGTGAGCAACTTTTTTGAGGAAGGTGGTTGGCTTGCAGCTCCAAAGGGCTCTGGAGGAAATAGATTATCTGGCCATTTTCAGTCTGGGATATAGTACTGAGATGTCATTGGTCACACTTGATGACTGCAGACTTGGGATTGAGGGAAGTGCATCCATCCTGGCCCTCCCTGAACATTCACCCACCTTTTATCAAAATCATGGTATCCTTCTGGACAGCTAAGCATTGGCAGGGGGTTGTGGTTCTCCTCCTTCTTCCAAGGCAGAAAGGTCTAGCTCCAGACCCCTGCTCAGGGAGGTATCTCAGGGGTCTATTCTCTCCCCACTTTTAATAAATACCTATATGAAGCCACTGGGTGAGGTTGTTCTTTGGCATGGGGTGAAGTATCAGTTGACAGGATGAGGGAGAGGGATGGGAAGAACAGGCTTTGGCTTAAACCTAGTAAGACCAAGTGGCTATGCGTTTTGGGCCTCTTCTGAACCTGAATCTAGAGATTTTCCACTGTTGTTTGAACTGGAAGAGGCTGCACTCACACACTCAGGACCAGTGTGAAATTTGGGCATCCTCCTGGACTCATGGCTCCTGTTTGAAGACCAGGTAGCAGCTATGGCCAGGAGGGCCTTTGCACAATTCCATCTTCTGCACCAATTACATCCACTGCTGGATTGGGAGGCCTTGTTTACAGTCACTCACACCTTAGTTCCCTCCTGGTTGAACTAATATAATGCAGACAACATGGGACTGCCCTCAAAGGCCATCAAGATTCAGGATGCAATGGCACGGATAATTATGGTGCACCACAGTACATCTATATAACAACATTATTCCAAAACCTGCAGTGACTCCTCACAGACTTCCAAGTGCAATTCAAAGTGCTCCTTATCACCTACAGGGCCAGATTATTTGTGGATTGTTTGTCTCTTACTATTTCTGCCCATCCCACTTGCTCTCTCACAGGATGGGCATGCTCTAGGCCCCTTCCCTGAGGCAACGTCACCTGATGGGAGGTGTACCTTTTCTGTGGCAGTGCCCCTTTGGAATAATCTCCCCTTCCTAGGTTTGGATGGCCCCAATCCTGTTAACCTTCCAAAAAGCTTCAAAATCCTGGTGTTTCTCCAAGGCATTGGGCCAGGACAATAGATAACCCATCTTCTGGAGCTTGAGTATGTCTGGTTGACCTGCCATATGTTGTTTGATATGTTGGCTATGGAATTTATTTCTTTTGATTTTGTATGGGTTTTTTTACCTATAATCATTGTTTTTTGTTTCACTTCTATTTGATGTACACCATTACATCACATTTTCAATGGTTGGCAATACTTAATTCCATAGAAAGCAATTTTTCATAATTATTACACTTACCTCCACTGCCAGTTCATCTAGCTGTCTCTTCAGTGAACCATTCTCTCTCTTAAGATGATCATTTTCTAACAAGGCAGCCTTCAGCCTAGCCTCTAAACTCTGCATATATTCCTTTTTCTTCCTCCGTGACTGACAGGCTGATTCCCGATTTTTTATCATGCGCTGCTGCCGTTTTAGAACATTCATCTAGAGTGATACATATGATGAAAAAACTGTTCAAAGTTCAGAAAACATACAAAGGAAGAGGGCAAAAACAAGGCTACTTGCAACAGCACAAGCTTTTAAGGAAAGGGGAAGGGGAAGGGGAAGGGGAAGGGGAAGGGGGGAAAGGAAAGGGAAAGGAAAGGAAAGGAAA